CATTCCCGCCAAAGGTGGAGAAAGGTGCCCTTCTGTCTGCATCCTTTCCAGCATGCGTCTGTGTTGGTGCTTCCCATTTGTTTTAATCTCAGGGGCGTAAGGTGCCACCTGAGTAGGGTTTTGTAGGCCTGCTCTTTATGGTTCACACACTTACGATCTGCTGAAGACTTACGTCTATCTTCTGCCGTACTCCCACCTCTGATGCTCGCCTTCAAGATTTCTCGAGGGCTGCACCGTTCCTGTGGAACTCACTTCCCTCCTCCGTTAGATGCTCACCCAGTCTCCACTCCTTCAAAAAATCGTTAAAAAACCCACTTCTTCATAAAAGCGTATCAATTAAACTGTTAATAGCTCCTGACTGATTCCTCTTCTGCAACTGTCACTAGTCTAATACTATCCTTACCTTTTTGTGTCATTTTACCCCACTCCCTCTAGCATGTAAGCTCATTGAGCAGGGCCCTCAACCCCTCTGTTCCTGTGTGTCCAACTTGTCTGGTTACAACTACATGTCTGTTCGTCCACCCATTGTAAAGCGCTGCGGAATTTGACGGCGCTCTATAAATATCATAATAATAATAATATGGTAAGCAAGACTGTGGCTTCCCATATGTCCACCCAGTCTGAGGGGTCTGCGGGAGGTCCTAAATCTCTTTCCCATGCCTTTGTGTAGAAGAGGGCGTCTTCTGGGGAGTTGGAGTTTAGGGAAAGGTATATATTTGCCCTTTTTGTATGGGTGCACGGAGGCATGTTTTTTCGAATTGAGTTAAACTAGTGGTGGCGGTTGTCCTGTTATGTGGTTCGTTGAGGAAGCTGCGAATCTGTATAGAGCGAAAGTGATCGAATGTGGTCAAGGGTGTTTGGTTGGGGAGATTTGGAATGCTCTGAGTTATTGGCCTTGGAAAAAGTGGATGAATCGGATTAATCCGTTATCTTCGAATCTTGAGAAGTCTTGAGCTGTCAGGCCTGGGGGAAATTGCTTGTTTCTTAGGATAGGTGTGAGGGGCGATGGTGTATTAATTATGGGGTGTTTTGCTGTGGTATTGTCCCAAATGAGAAACAATGTTGTTAGTGTGGGGGTGGTCTGTGGGGTGGATGGTCTGTCTTTCTTTCTTGGGGAGCCAGAAAAGAAGTGAGGGGTGGTCACTTCCCAGGAGATCGTGCTCCAGGTCTACCCAGAGTTTGAGTCCTGGCGGTGCGTGTAGATGTTGTATTTGGGTCGCTAGTTGGGCCACTTGATAATAGTGGTAGAAGTTCGGGAGACCCAGGCCTCCTGTTTTTGTAGTTTTGTACATCGTGGATCTTTTAATGCATGGTCTCTTGTTTGACCATACGAATCTGTCTATGTGTGTTTGGAGTGTTTTAAAGTCATGTTTGGATATAGGTATCGGTAGTGCTTGGAATAGGTAGAGAAAATGAAGGAGGAGGTTCATTTTTATTGAGGCTATTCGCCCTAGCCAGGAGATGGACATTGGTCCCCAGTTTTGCAGGTCTAGGTGTGCTTGTTGAAGTAGTGGTGTGTAGTTTAGGGCGTATATGTTGTAGCATATGTGGCGTATATGTGTAGTTTAGGGCGTATATATATATGTTGTTCGGGTCTGCGGGGAGATGTGTTCCCAGGTAGTGGATGCTGTTCGAGTTGTATCTGAATGGGTGTGCTGTTTTCAGTTGTTCTAGGGTTTGTTGTGGTATTGCTATTGGGAGGGCCTCTGTTTTCTCCAGATTAAGTTTGTACCGCGAGAGAGTTGCGTATTGCAGCAGTATTAATAGGGGCGGTAGGGAGTGGGAGGGTTCTGAGATAGCGAGGAGAATGTCATCAGCGTAGGCCGCTATTTTGTATTTTTCGGACCTAACTTTAATGCCCTTTATCATCTGTTTATTGCGTATGTTTTGGAGAAGAGGTTCTAGTGAAAGGGCGAATAATAATGGGGAGAGTGGGCAGCCTTGTCTCGTCCCGTTTTTGATTGTGAATTCTGGGTGTGTGGTATTGGGTAGGAGGAGTGCGGCCATGGGTTGGTCGTAGAGGGTCCTTAGGGCTTCGAGGATGGGGGTCGGGAATTTGAATTTTTGGAGGGTGGCGACCAGGAACGGCCAGAGCAGGCGGTCGAACGCCTTTTTTGGCATCCATGGATAGGAGGAGGGTTGGGATCAGAGATCTCCCTCCCCGGTCCGCAGGCACTGTGCTGAGAGCCGGCAGGGGAGGGAGAGGGGGTGAGAGGGAGGACCCGGAGCTCAGCCTGCAGCTCCTCCGGGTCCTCCTCTCGCGAGATTTGGAGCGTTGCCGAGGTTACCACAGCAACACTCCAAATCTCGCGAGAGTGAACTCTAGCCAGGGAGCGTGGGCTAGAGTTCACTCTCCCCACTGGGACCACCAATGAATCCCCCACCGGACCACCAGGGAAATGCCCCCCCCTCCCCCCAGTAAAGGTAAGAAGGGAGGGGGGACATTAAATAAAATAAAAAAAATATATATTAAAAAAAAGCCCCCATACCCTTATATCACACACACACACACACTCTGCCCCCCATACACCCACACTGCACCCATACACCCACACTGCCCCATACTGCCCCCATACACCCACACTGCCCCATACACACACACTGCCCCCATACACACAAACTGACCCCCATATAGACCCGTGCCCCTTCATACACACACACTGCCCCCATACTGCCCCCCACACGCACACTGACCCCATAGACCCGTACTGCCCCCTCATACACACACACACACTGCCCCCATACACACATACTGCCCCCATACACTACCGCCCCATACACACACACTGCCCACACTCACACATACACTGCAATACTCACACACACACTGCAACTGTTACACATGGATACTATCCCACACATACACTGCCGCTCTCACACACGCTCACACACTGTCCCCCTCACACACACACACTGCACCCCTTACACATTGCACCACTCACACACACTACTGCTCCTATGCACTACTACTGCCCCATTTCCCAGCAGACCTCAGGTAAGTTGTCAAACTGTTCTTAAATGGTTTGACTACTTACTTTGGGAGGGGGTCCCGGCACTATAGACACCATAACCACTACACTGAGCTGTAGTGGTTATTGTGCCTGGATTATTTCTTTAAATAATCTACAAGTGCCCCTCCCGAGATCATGCTCTGGATCCGCCACTGGTTGGGGTCTGTCTTTTGTGGGCCACCCAGATTATGTCGATTGCCCGTCTCGTGTTGTCCGCCGCCTGTCTTGTGGGGACGAAGCCCACCTGGTCGGGGTGTATTAATTTCGGTAGGAGTGGTTGTATGCGGTTGGCAAGTGTTTTAGTAAATATTTTAGTATCTACGTTGATTAGGGAGATGGGTCTAAAGTGTCCCAGGTCTAGATGTGTTTTATCCGGTTTTGGAATGAGGCATATGTTTGTTCTGAGCATTTCCTTGGGGAGTTGGTCCCCTTGGAGTAGTGAGTTCCCTAGTGCTGTGAGTTGCGGTATTAATATATTTGCATATGTTTTGTAATAGAGGCCCGTGAATCCATCTGGTCCTGGGCATTTGTTGGGTTTGATTGTTTTCAGTATGCATGCTATTTCTTCTGTCGTGATAGGGGCTGAAAGAATTTCTATCGCCGTGTTTGTTAGTGCTGGAAGGGGGGTGTTTCGGAGATATGTTGCGATGTCTTGGTTTAGTGTTGGTGGTGGTTTTGGATTATGGTCATACAATGAAGTGAAATATTGGGAGAAGATCTGTGCTATGCGATCTGGGTTATCGTGTGAGCTTCCTCCTGGGGAGTTTATTTTATTGATGCGCTTAGTGTTTGATTTTTGACGTAGTGTGCAGGCCAGGAGGGTGTCTGCCTTATTTGATTTCTCGTAAAAGAATTGTTTGCTCCATTGGAGTGCTTTTTGTGAGTCCTTACCCATGTATGATTTGATGGCTTGTTGGTGAGTTTTGATCTGTGCTAGTAGTGTTGGAGTGGGTTGTTGTTTATGTTGGTTTTCTAGGGCCCTCAGCGAGAGAAGGTGGTTTTCTAGTTCTTTTAGTTTTTGGTTTTTGTGTATTGTGGCTTCTTCTATCAGTTTGCACCTTATGACCGCTTTATGCGCAGCCCATAGCATGCCTGTGGATTCTACTGTGTCCGTGTTTAAGTTGAAATATTCTGTGAGCATCGTTTGGATGGACGTCCTTATTTCCAGGTTGTGCAGGAGTGTTGGGTTTAGTCGCCATGACCATGATTTAGCTGTTTGTGGAATTGGGGATGTAAGGGATATTTCTGCATTGTCGGACCACGTGATCGTGCCTATAGATGTTGTGATTTCTTGGGTCTTGAGGGAGTGGGATTTTAGGAACATGTCAATCCTGGAGTAGGAAAGATGAGGATGAGAGAAAAAGGTGACGTCGGGGGTTGTGGGGTTTTGGATTCGCCAAATATCATGGAGGCCTGATTGGAGTACAAAATTCAAGAGTAGTCTGTCCATTCTGGTCATTGGGATTGTTTTGGTTGTGCGTGTGGTTTGGCGTTGTCGGTCTATTTGAGGGTTCATGACCGCGTTAAAGTTTCCTCCTATGATCGTGTGATGGGAGGGGAATAGCTTAAGGTGGGCCTTAATGGCCGCCCAGAAGAGTAGGTCTGGGTTATTGGGAGCATAAATTGTGGTGAATGCTTTTTTGTGAGCGCCTTGCTGCCCTGTTATGGTGAGGAATCTGCCCTGAGGGTCGGCTATGGTCTTTGTAAAGCTGATGGGGCACGTGTTTCGGATGAGTATTGCTACTCCGTCATGTTTTCCGTTTGGGGAGTTTGCTAGGTGGCATTCCTTATAGTGTCTATTTTGAAGAGGGAATGGTCTCGAGATTTCAAAATGCGTTTCCTGGAGGAATATTATGTCAGCTCCTGTTCTATTGGCCCAGCGCATCATTTGATGTCGTTTTGCTGGGTTATTGAGGCCCTTGCAATTAAGTGAGATACATTTCAGTTTTTTTTAACATTCTGCCTATGGGTGTGGGTCTGAGTTGTGGGTCACAGTGCGGAGGGCCCGAGGACTTCTGTCCTTTGGGTAGGGTTGTTCTTGGGGTGGGGTTGTGGTGAGTTGGGTGGGGGTATGGGGGTCCGGATGTCTACCGGAGGGGAGAGGTGGAGGGGGGTACATAGCGTGTGTTAGTATAGCCTGGTCTTACTACAGGATTGCCAGGTGGTGTTGGTGGGTGTGTGTGGTGCCTATGGGGAGGGGTTCGTGTACTGTGGTCCCCTGTCGGGGGTTTGTGTGGGTAGTGGTGAGAGAGAGAGGAGGAAGGTTTTTCACATTCTTGTCTCCCCTTCTCCCCCAGCACTTTTGGTGTTGTGTCACTCACGGTTATTCAGAGGTTTCTTTGTGTTGTCATAGCTCCTGGTGTCTTGGCGGTTTGTGGTCCGTCCTTGTGTGGTTAGGTGTTTCGTTGTCGGAGTCTCGTCCTTTTGTGTCGTACGGTGGTTCGTGTTGTCTGGTATGAGGTTTGCTAGGGGCATAGAAGAAACACTAAAAAAGCACTGGGAGAGGTAGGAGGAGCACCAGGAGAGAGCAGTACCCATAGACCGAGATTACAGAGAATGCGAAGAAGCTGTTGATGATCACCAGTGTCAAAGGTAGCAGAAAGATCAAGGAGAATCAGGATAGAGTAATGGCCACGAGATTTAGCAGCGATTAAATCGTTGGGTACTTTGGTCACAGATGTTTCAACAGAGTGGCGAGCGCGGAATCCAGACTGAAGCGGTCAAGCAGAGAGTTGGATTCGAGGAAGTCTGTCAATCTCGCATACACAACTCGCTCAAGGATCTTGGAGGCAAATGGCAGTAGCGATTTAGGGTGGTAGTTGGATGGGGAGCTAGGGGGAGCCGAAATGACGTCATATTCCGGCTCCCAGCTTCATTAAGCGGTGCGCGAGGAGCTGAGCAGGAAGAGCTCGGGTGAGAATGCTCCCTCGCTGCCGGCCAGCTCTTGAGCCCAGGACACGAGGCAAACAAAGGATCTGCATGGGCATTGGGGGGCGGCTTTTTTTGCCATCCCCTGCAAAGTGCCGCCTAAGGCAGATGCCTTGTTTGCCTCGTGTGAGATACGTCCCTGATTGTAGTAGGTGCGAATGAGCATAGAACAGCGAAGGGAGTGGGGTTGGGTGATGTATTTGAAGGGGAGGAAGAGAGGTTAGAGATATCTTCCCTGACTGTAGAAATCTGCTCAGTGAAGTGAGTTGCAAAGTTTGAGGCGGACACGGTGGTGGGAGTAGGGGGAGCAACAAGGCGAAAGAGAGCATTAAAAATGAAAATGAAAATGAAATAGTAGTTTAGGTTCACGGGAGAGTGTGGTTATGAGGGTATTGACGTAATTTACTTTTGCAGAGGAAAGTGCCAGAGTGTAGGAGCGCAGCATAAATTTATAGTGGAGGAAGTCAGGTGCAGAGTGAGACTTTCTCCAACAGCGTTCAGCAGTTCTCAAACATTTTTGGAGATTTCGGGTCAGCTAGGCGTGCTAGGGTTGTAATTGCTGCATTTAAATGTAGGAGGTGCCATGATGCCTAGTTGAAAGGAGAGAGTGGAGTTGTAGAATGAGGTTGCAGAGTTCATAGGCGTGCGCAGCCTATTGCATTAGGGTGTGCACCCTAAAGCACAAACACACGCTGCATGTGTGTGTGTGTATCTATCTATCTATCTATATATATATATATATATATATATATATATATATACACACACACACACACACACACACACACACACACACACTGCTGTGTGTGCTGTTAGTGTGCTGTTAGTGTGATGTGTGTGTGAGGGTGCTGTTAGTGTGATGTGAGGGTGTGTGTGTGTGTGTTTGTGACTGTGCTGTTTGTGTGTGAGGGTGTTTGTGTGTGTATGTTTGTCCTGTGAGGGTGCTGTTTGTGTGAGTGTCGTGTATTTGTGAGGGTGCTGTTGTGTGTGTGTGTGTGTTTGTGAGGGTGCTGTTAGTGTGCTGTGTGTGAGGGTGTTGTGTTTTTTTTAAAGGTGCTGTGTGTGTTTGTGAGGGTGCGGTTAGTGTACTGTGTGTGTGTGAGCTGTATGTGTGTAGGTGCTGTATGTGTGTGTGCTGTATGTTTGGAGGGATTTGGCAGATTAGTAAATCCTTGCTGCCATGTGCCATCCCTGGTGGTCCAGTGGAGAGTGAACTCTAGCCTGCAGGGCTAGAGTTAACTCTCGCGAGATCTGAGCGTTGCCGCAGCAACACTCAGATATCGCGAGAGGAACCTGGCGGAGCTTCTGTCTAGAGCTCCCTGGGTCCTCTCCTGCCTCCCTCCATGCTGCTGTGGGCCGGTGAGGTAGATCTTTGGTCTCCCCGCCAGCCCATGGAGGCTTAGAGCAGAGCCGGCACTCAGATAGCGCCGGCTCTGCATGTGTGTGTGTATATATATATATATATATATATTTATATATATGCGTACACACACTCACAGACACATTCAGACACATACACTCACAGACGCACACACACATTCACAGACACACACTCACACACACACACTCACACACAGACACACACACACACGAACAAATTATTACATTTTAATTTTAAAAAAATGTCCACCCAGCCTCCTACCTGGAGTGCTGGCGTGGACTTGTCCCTGGGGTCCAGTGGGGCGGGCGCCTCTCTGCAGCTCAGCCGCGGCGAGGGAGCTGTCTGCTCTCTGCTTCCTCTCGCCGCGCGGGCTGTCTGCTGTAGCTGGGAGCCGGAATATGACGTCATATTCCGGCTCCCGGCATCAGCGCGCGGCGAGAGGGAGCAGAGAGCAGACAGCTCCCTCGCCGCGGCTGAGCTGCAGAAAAGGGGGGGATCCATCACCTCTTGCCCACCCCATGACAGAGGTAAGAGGTGAAACAGGGGGCGCTGAGTGCCTGCAGGAACAGTGTTCCTGCTCAAATAAAGTGCAGGAACGCTGTTCCTGCAGGACTCAAACCATAGGCATGCCACGGGGATTAGGGTGTGCCCAGGCACACACGGCACACCCGTGCGCACGCCTATGGCAGAGTTAGATAGATGATGGCAATTCTTAAAGGAATAGGTTTAAATATGTGGACAGTGTACATATTAGACCAAAATGCCCTTGCTACAGCTGGACCCATTTCTATGTGTAACCATTCTAGTGTCTACATAGTACTGACAAGAAACAGCATCAGGACAACACCAACTGTAATGGCACAGTTTTCTTTATCACAATGAGGGCAAGGTGGTACAAAGAGTTAGTGGACTATATACATTAGGTGTTGCATGGTTGAGAATAATGTGAATTGTATCTCCTGAGTTCACACAGATTATGGGTACACACATTGGCATCCCATGCAAGCAAAGGGTTACTCCAAACACAATAACTGCTTCAATGTGTTAAAGTGGTCATGGTACAAAGGTACCGCACATATTGAGATATTTTATGTTGCTTTTGTAGGTATAACTCTACTTCTAAAAGCCTTCATTAGCCAGCCTGGAACAAAGCTGGCTAATGAAGTTCTGAACTGGCTAATGTAAATACAGTGGAGATTCTTCACTAAGGTTCATTTATTGGCTGAGAGTGCTAGATTGGGATTAAACTTTTTACAGTTCTGGCACCCTCCAAAGCTGTTATGGGAGGCACTCACTGGCGGAGAACAGTCAGCTGACACTCCAGAAGAGAAAAAAAGCATTTACACAATCTCAGACATATTTGTTATGATGCTCGGAGTATTCCTTCAAGTGAGTAAAAAATTACCTGAAGGATAATATTTAGAGATGAAAGAAGATAAAAGCATTGACTCACACATTTATGTACCGTTTAATCTTTAACCCCATAAGGACACATGACATGTGTGACATGTCATGATTCCCTTTTATTCCAGAAGTTTGGTCCTTAGGGGGTTAAACGAAGAATCCAAAGGCCAAGTTTTTTTGTGGAATGGATAACAATTGGTCTCTATGTTTATGATAATCTGTACATAGTGATCCATAAACATGAAGAACACTCAGTACAGATATCAGAGCATGTATGTGATAAGCAGCGTTGAAATTGACAATAACATTCATGAGCTTTGTCACTGTCGTTTATATTGATTGAGTGTCTTCTGTCTCTTCACTGGATCTTGCGTAATGGACCAGATGACATTCTCCGACAAGAATATTAGTAGCTGATAATTCTAGGTGGGGCTTTATCAGAAGCTATTTAATGGGAGCAGAAGTGACACATGAAGATATGATTGAAGACACATATGATGTGCATGTCAGCAAGACTGGAATAGTAACAATATGGCAGAAATTTTACAACCAAATAAAAGTATTGTGCCGACGACAAACGAAATATAAAGACTTGAAAAATGTAGTAATTTTTGTTGTCTCTGTTGATCAACAGCTTTTCTAATTGTAATACTAATTAATGCACAGCATAGTATTATATTAATTACATTAATATAACTGATATTATATATATATATATAGATATCCAGTTATGTCTGTATAATTATATTCGTGTTAGCACTCAGAGAATACAATTAATTGATATCGTCTGGGCTGCTGAATCTGGGGCCAGGGGGTAACTCACTGCAGACTCTCAATCAACAGTTTCAACAATAATCAAACAATATTTAACTTTAAGAAACTGTTGGGGGTAAAGTGCTGAAGGACAGAGACAATTTGAGAAAAACTTCAGTAGAATACAAAGCAATGACTTGCGAGGATTAGATGGCAAATGCAGTTGGAAGGCAGGATAATGGATTTAAAAATATAAAAATGTACAAAAACTGTGAAACATTTGATGCTGGCCTCCTGCGATTTGCAGATTTTCCAATGATCCCTACTTAAAACATGAAGTGGCAGGGGGCGGGGCCGAACCGCCATGCTGAACAGTCGCACACGAGAGCAGCTCCTGCAGTACTTACTAAATTTTGCCTAAAAACACCAAAACCAGCACTAATTTGCCGACTGACAGCTGTGACCCAGTGCAAGAAGGCACCCTGGTCCCGAGGAGAGGCTTGCTGCACAGTTTAAGTCCCTTGGAGGGGTGCTCGCCGTCACCTAAGATGGAGGCGGTGAGTGGGACGGACGGCCGCTGCCCTGCTATCCTGCCTACCAGCGGTCTACCAGAAGCACATAGTTAGGTGGCTGTGGCCCCGTTCCCCCCCCCTCTGGACCGGTGGGGGTGATCCCGGTCCCCACCCTGTGGCCCCCTGTGAGTGCGAGACCACCAGCATTTCATGCCGCGGCAGTGTCAAATTAGAGCACGGAGGCCGCATACAAGATGGCGCAGACCGCATGCTGAAGCTCCCTCCTCACTTGACTCAGCATCAGCAGACTGCCGGAGCGAATTAAACTGGAATCGGTGATTACCTGCTACGACCACACTAAGAGCCAGAGATCCGGTCCTGGGATGAGCCAAATATGGCAGAGCAGCCAAATACCACACCAACGCAAGAGCAAAGGTCAGCAAACGCAAATCACTGCCCAAGCACACTCCAACCTACAACCCACAGCCAGAGACATT